AAGCTCATAAACAATTCAGTATATGGTAAGACTATTGAGAATATTCAAAAATATTAGGATGTCAAGCTCATGAAGATGAATAATGAGTGGGATGAAAAGGCATTCTTAAATAAAGTTTGCAAGCCATTTTTTAAGTATGGTAGACCACTTGGACCTACATTAGTATGGACGCATATGGGAAAGGTCAGTGTGATGCTTAACAAGCCTATCATAATTGGGGTATCAGTCTTGGGTCTTAGTAAGCTTCACATGTATCACTTCTGGTATTGTTAGCCGGGAGGCTGGAAATAAACTTAGATGATATAATTCAGTCCGTTGAATTAATCACAATAACTTTATTACAATCATGCCTGTATGAAAACACGGCAAAAAGGTAAATGTAAATGAATAACAAATATCTTTATTGAACTCTTGGTTTATTCACAAAACCCTATCTCGAGTTATCCTTCAACTCAAGGGAAAATACATGCTATTTATATAAGATAAACTAATAGTAATATAATAAGATAAATATGTCCAATATAATATATAAAATAAATATAATAAATAATATATAATTAATAAATATAACAAATATGACTAATCTAACAAATAAGATAAATATGATAAATATGGTAGATCAGTTAAATATGATCAATTGGTCATATTTGTCAACTAAATCAAATAATAATTTGTAGATCAATTTTGATGATCTTTTAATAATGTTAATTTTTTGCAGCTAATAGTATGAATATATAAAAAAAAGATATGGTGACAAGGTCATATTAGGTTATATGAATATAGACTCATTCATATTCCTAGTCATGACTGAGGATATCTATAAAGATATGTCTGAACAACCTGATCTCTTTGATCTTAATGATTCGAAGACTATTGGATTTTTCAAGGATGAGACCCCTGGCAATGTGATTACAGAATCTATATATATATAGGCCAAATCATGACACTATGTCTTGGCAGATAAATTCACGATATCTAAGCATAAGGGAGTTAATAAAAAGGGTATAGGAGAGATGGCTACTAATACATACTTCTCATCATTAGAAGGATCTCTTCTAGACAAACCAGTAGACGAGACTAAGGTTTTTGATCCAATGACTCAAGTCTATCGGAACTGCCTCTTTGGTAAGAAAGAATTCCATGCCAAAAATGTGGGTATTCAATCAAAAGATCACATTTTATCCCTGGTCGAATCTGAGAAGAAAGCTCTCTGCCTCATAGATACCAAGCGCTGGATCCTATCAGATGGGATACTATTTTACCATATTTCCATTGACGCATACAGGCATATAAGAATATGATCAAAGATAATATCCCTCATGAAGTAGCCGAAAAAGGAGCTATAAGGGCCAAGCTCCTAGAGAAATATCAAAATGAATGTACGTCTTACATAACCAGCTCACTCTAATAAGCTATTAGTGAAAAAAGAGATTTAGCATAGTTAAGCGACAAGACACTTAGGAGTATTATTATTATATATTTTTTTTCTTGTATAATAAATATTTGATTACAGAATACTTCTCTATAATGGAATGCAAACAAGAGCAAATATCTAATAGCACATATAGCGAGTATAAGAAAGGCATGGTAAAAGAGCTAATGAAGTTATCAGAACTCAATCATCATACAAGAGCGTCTCCAGCAATTGATAAAAAATCCAGTATTTTTATTGGAGAAATTATAGCATTAATGATAAAAGTGGATAAACTTAATTCTCGATTCAAAAGACTTAAAAGAACTGTAGACTGGATAGGAAATTATGCAAAAGAGCAAACTGGCTTAGAGCCTGACAAAGAGCTAACAGATTTATCTGAATCTGATTCAAATTAAAAATCAAAGGTGGCTAATAGTATCCATAAATAATGTGTATGTAATTTGGTCACATGATACTAATCCCTTAAAGCTTAGTGTCAGATGACATCCAATGGAAATCCGCGCGGTATCACATGATCACACATTAATATTCGGGTGATCTGATTGGCTAAAACAAAATATAAATTATATATTTTTTACCTGAGTTTTGGAGGATAATATCTCGACTTCCACTGATCGGATTTATGCAAATTTAGGCTTGTTTGACTGCCCTTATCATGTACTACATGTAAAATAAATTTCAGATAGATCGGGTATTTACTTGTGGAAATATTCCGTCACAAATTCTTGGCATTTTCTTACTACAATTTTAGGGATAGTCCTTCTATTTTTAAATTTATAAGAAAAAAAAGGCGAAAAGTTTTGCCAGAAACATATGGAATACCTAAACTTCTAGAAAAATATGACATATCTGGAATATTTTTTTCCAAGAATTTTCTGAGACTATATCACTTTCCTTTAATCGAACATATGTCCAACCAACTAAATTTCAATGAACACTGTAAGAGTTTGCTTAATCAATTACCCCTATTCATGAAAAAAGATGCATGACTATGACTTACAACTTGCAAAAATAATCCCCTATCTGAAGAACAGGTAAGAGGGATTCATCTAGACATTGAGGAATTGCTTACTAGGAAGGTTAATAGATATTTTAGGAAAAGGGATCGTCAGAAGATTAAGATCAAAGCAAATACTGCCTCAGATGGTTCTAATATCTTATCCCGATTAAATAGATTTGAGAAGCAGTTGAAAGAATATGAGACTTTGCTAAAATAGAAAGAAATCAATATTAAGAAAACTATTAAGATCCAGATTGCTGAGGAACACAAACGTTTAAAAGATGAATATAATACTCTTAAGTCTTGTCTAGAAAGTGAATATAATAATTGCATGGTAGATATGAAACAGAAGACTTATTTATTCAAACATCAGCTAGAAAAGCAACAGAAATCCAGCTCAGATGACTTGGAAAGGCAATACAAATCTCGTATCAATACTTTGGATAAATCTAATGCTATGAAAGATAAGGAGATTGGCAAGTTGTCCGCTACTGTTTTCCAACTTAAAAAAAGATAAGAATGCTCTAAAATAAGACTTTGCTTCTGCTAAAAAGACTATTAAAGTATTGGATAGTATTATCTATAATAAGGATCAGACAATTATTGCTTATAATGAAGGATTACGGAAAATTAATCCTGGCTGTATAGATAACACTATAGAACTAACTAGCTTTTATGAAAAAGATGCTAAAGTCTTGTGGACTAGATAGCGTGATGATGCTTCAAATGAGCCAGATATCCAAAAAAACTATACGTTTCGTTCCTATATTTATAAAAAACTTCTAAATACTTTATGCCAAAGATAGACGAATAGGCACAGTAATTTTTTCTTGTTCACTGTCTGAACACTGACTGATCTGTGATAAAACATTATCCAAACACTGACTGTTTTGTGATGAAACACTGTTTGAATACTGTCTGATTTGTGATGAATTACTGTTTGAACACTTAATTGTTTTATAATGTTATTTTAACCTATAAGGATAACGAAATTCTTTACTACAGTACTAATATATACGATCAGTTAGTTTTTTTTATAGGTTCTGATTCCTTCTTTTCTATAATAAAGATATTACGCTGAGATTTGTGAACTGATAGGGGAATAATAAAGTCTTCCTATTACATGTAACCTTAAATTCTCCTTTTATTAAAGATTCCCATCCAGCTTGATATTGCCATTGAGTACCAATAATTACTAGAGATTTAGCATTTCCATCCTGATCCTTTTCTGCAGGTACTTTAAATTTAATTTAGCGTAAAGGCTGTAATGAAAGAATTTTTCTTGACTAACCTTAATTATATTTATTTTTGGAAAAAATTTTTCTGCTTTAAAAACTGTACTTTAAGTGTATCTGATAACATTTGAAAAGTAGAATAATTTGTAAAAAAAGTTTTTTATAGAACTGGATATTTGAACAAATTTATTTGAGTCAGTTGTGTATGCCGTTTTATCCCTTTTGAAAATTAACTTGCTGTAACTATAAAAACTTATAAAGAAAAATTTCATCATAGTATTGATTAGCATTGGTTTGATAACTTGATGCTGCTATTAACAAGCCATTCAAGGTTAACCTTAGCAAAGAATGGAACTTGTAGTGGTATTAAGAGTAGTGATTGGGTAAAACGTTACAAGAGTATATTTGATGAAATTCTTTTGTAAATTGCAGGTTAATTTTGTGATTATAATAAAGACAGTAATTTTAGATTTGATGATAAAAGTTCAATATGTTGAAGTTCACGATGATGATGAATTTTGTGATGATATATTTCGCGTAGATGATGATACCCGCGATGAAAATTATCATAATAATTGTAAATAGTAATATCAAATATTTTATAAATTCTTTTAGCTTTATTTCAATAAATTTGAATAAATTTATTATATAATCAATACATTTTACAAGATATTTCGAAGTATGCTTATTTTGGGTAATATTGAAATCAAGGGATGATTATTTTCAGGTGGTGCTAATTTCGGGATATATTTTATTATATAATATAATAACAAAAGTTAGATTAATCCACATAACTATCAACAAAAGGAATATTTTTATTAGTTAAAATATAACGAAAAAAATTCTATACTTTGGTTAAAAAGTAAAATAATCTCACCTTGTAATAATTTTAACAAAAATAATTCAAGGTCATTTAAGGTAAATTTCTTAAAAATAAAAATAAGTAATTATTTTATTACTGAATCAGATAGGAATTCTTTTTTATAAAATTAAATCCAAAACTATTTTACATTATAATTTAAAAAGTTTCATAAACTACTTTGAAGATTTAATATTTGCGCTGTCTTCTTCATATTTTATTAATTCTTTTTGTTCTTGAACCGAATAAGAATCTAAACATATATAATAAATAAATAAAATTAAGCATATTTAAGGATGTGCATATAACTTTATATATACCTTTAAACCTTGTTCGTTCCCAGAATAATTCATGATAAATGAATCCTTTTTTTTCTAAAAAGATCAGGCTTTAATTTGTCTGTAATATATTAAGTAATTAAATAAATACTAATACAAATATACACATCAAAATATCAAGTCCAAATTACCATTAACAAGCCATCATTTTTTTCATCAGAATTTTCTTCATTTTGACTATAATCGATATAATGTGTTTACCTATATCTTTACAGCACTAATATCGAAGGAAATAATTTTAATAATTTAGTATAATTATAAGAAATTGAATATCATACCAGTTACAAAGATAAAAGGATCTATGATCACTGATTCTTAATTTAAGTCTAAAGATCAAATAAAAAATTTTAATAATCGTGTGAAATGATGTACTTGTTTATGTATATCATATCCTGCGTATTCTGATTCATTATCTTCTCTAATTGACTCAATTTGTGCAATTTGTGACATATTTCCATGCCTTGTATCATGAAATTGAATATGCTCATAAAACATTTTGGGTATTTACTAAAGGGATAAAATATATACAGTGGTTTACAAAAGAAATGCAAGTAGAGTTGCTTGCCTTTAAAAGCTTATAACTCACCAACCACGAATGCTAGAAACATGATTTTGTATTTGTTTTAAACCTCAAAACCTATCTAATATTCAGTAAAAATTTGAAGTGCGATTATTAAGACCAATTTTGCGCAATTTAGTGATCTACATCAAAAATTCTTACTTAATGAAATTTAAGTGTAGAAAATATTTTTCAGTAGGCCAACTACCCAAAAACCGATACTGTATTCAGATTCTCCTCAGTGCCGTGATTCTAACAAGCTAAAATTCGTCCAAATCGGATCAGTAGATCAGCGAAAAATTGATAAAGAAGATCGTCGCGATATCATATAAAAAAATTTTTTTTTTTTTTTTTAACGATGTGGCACTGCCAATAACTTTATTAAATTTATACAATAAACAAAGAGTAAATTTT